CACAGACTAAGCGTTAGTCTAGATCTGGACAGTGTGAAACCATCCTCGAGTCTATCCAACGAATTTGCTTAACATGCAATCTGGTTTCAAATGGTTATAAGTTTACAGAAATATGTAAGATACGAATCTCTTTCTAAAGTATATGTATCTTATTGCATCAGTTTCCACGGCATTTCCTGAAACCTCCCAGTTTGTCCCTAGATACGAAATCGTTGGTGTATATACAGTAATTAGTATTTACATGTCTGTGTATCCAAGGAAACTGATCCTGCCAATTTCTTAAGAGCTTATCTCCTTATGGCCTGTCTTTCTCGTTTCTATAAACACCTCCATCCCCCAACATTCTCCCCCCACCTCCCTCCCCCAACGATACAAGTTCCTCACCCCCATAAAGGCATGTACTAGATTTACCGCGAGTCCTCACGTGCACTGAATTCCACTGACAAGTTTTTTTTTGACACTGAAATCTAACTTTGCGATTTAAGTATTTGGTTATTCACAACTTTAACCAATCCTGTTAATTAAGAAGCGGAAAGTAGTGTTCCGCACGTGTAGAACGGCTTCGTCGACTCGCCTGAGCCCGGCTGTAGTAAAACCTGTATATGGACATGAACGTCTCTGTATCACTGGGAACAGCTGTAGCCTATCCCTATAACATATACACACATACCATCGTTTCCAATAACGTTGTTAGCTGAAAGGGCAAGAAAGTGTGATTTCTTTTCAATGAAATTCCGGGACAATTTTGAAAACCCCTGTATGGGCCGTCGGTTTTTTGCAACCCTATAGGGATTTGACGTTACTTGGGGATATTTGTGTCCCATGCCTAAGAGTTGAGTGAGTTGTGTTTTACGTCGCGTTTGGCAATATTCCAACAATACCACAGAGGGCACACCAGAAATAACTTCACACATTGAGCCCAAGCGGGGAATCGAACCCGGGTTTTCGGCGTGGCGGGCCAACGCTTTACCAACTTGGCCACCCTACCGTCCCTTCTTAAGGGTTCAATAAATGGGCATCACCTGACTGGTGGCGTTTCGTCGAGTTCTTCGTGCATCCATTCTCATGGGTTCAATCACGTGTTGTCTTGGGCATTGCTGGCTGCGGAATCAAACAACATTCATTCCCGCCCAGACTCTATACGTTAAATGTCGAATTAATGTCGTTGTTAAAAAACATCATTTATGTCATAAAAACAGTCTGAATATCTTGTTTGTCTGTTTGTTTATTTGTTTTCGGTTTAACGCCGCACTAAACAATATGCATGATGCATTGGACGGCCTGCAAATATTCTAGCATTGACCAGACAATCCAGTGATCATCAGCATGAACATCGATCTGCGCAATGGGGAACCAATGACATGTGTCAACCAAGTCAGCGAGCCTGACCACCCGATCCCGTTAGTCGCCTCTTTCGACAAGCATGGGTTACTGAAGGTTCATTCTAACCCGGACCTTCACGGGTGCTGGTCGTAAGAGGCGACTTATAATTATCGGATCTGGGCCCACTTGCACAAAGCGATCTTAGCGTTACGACCACCTTACGCATATGTTAAAAGTTCCGTTCATCTTAGCACTAAGGTCACTTTTCACTTTGCCCAACTGAGCTCTGTTGTTTGCGTTGGCAACTGTTGATTAAGTGTCATTCCCTGGCTCCGTGGTTCGTTGTTCATAATATATATTACTGGATTGTCTGGTCAATGCTAGAATATTTGCAGGCCGTCCAATGCATCATGCATATTGTTTAGTGCGGCGTTAAACCGAAAACAAATAAACAAACAGACAAACAAGATATTCAGACTGTTTTTATGACATAAATGATGTTTTTTAACAACGACATTAATTCGACATTTAACGTATAGAGTCTGGGCGGGAATGAATGTTGTTTGATTCTGCAGCCAGCAATGCCCAAGACAACACGTGATTGAACCCATGAGAATGGATGCACGAAGAACTCGACGAAACGCCACCAGTGAGGTGATGCCCATTTATTGAACCCTTAAGAAGGGACGGTAGGGTGGCCAAGTTGGTAAAGCGTTGGCTCGCCACGCCGAAAACCCGGGTTCGATTCCCCGCTTGGGCTCAATGTGTGAAGTTATTTCTGGTGTGCCCTCTGTGGTATTGTTGGAATATTGCCAAACGCGACGTGAAACACAACTCACTCAACTCTTTGGCATTATTCGATTATTTACAGACCGCCGCCATATTGCTGGAATATTGCTAAACTCACTCACTCACTTACGACCAGCACGAAGTTGGTGTGGACCAGGGTGTCGTTGCACAAAGCGATCTTAGCGCAGAGGTGACCGTAACTCCCATACTTTAACATAGACTTACGACTGTCGTAGCGGCTAACGTTGTTTTGTACAACGTCACCCAGTTGTGTCCAAGCATCCCCTGGGTTTGTGGAGTGAGTGAGGCAAGTTAAGGGACGATGTGACGACATTTCAACTTATTGTAGGGTTATCATCAACCGTGAGACATTGTTAGATATTTATTTATTGAGTGAGTGAGTGTGTGAGTATGGTTTAACGCCGCGTGTAGCAGTTCGCCTGCAATATCACGTCGGGGGACATCGGAAATGGGTTTGACACATTGCCCCATTCACAGAATCGACCTCGAACCTTCGACGTGGCGGGCTAACGCTTTAACAACGAGACTTCACCACTACCCGCCTTGCAGTGAACAGAAATTGCAATTGATTTTAAGGGAGATACGGCTTTTGACACGATTTCATCAATAACTCGATCAAGGGTAAGTGGCGCAAGTCGTAAACCTTCGCCTTTGAAGTACTGACACGTCACGAATCGTAATCGAGATGAGTCTGGGATTCGAACTCACGATCAGCGGTCGTCAGGAACACGCTACAGGAATGATAGCAGAATATCTGAAAGGGTTAAATGGAAAAAAAGATTACGAATGGTGTTAACAAGACTCCCCGCTCGGGGTCGAGCGATTATGTTAGCCAATTTTGGCACCCAGCCAACGTAGTTTTACACATGTTCAGGTTCCGTGTGTAACACGAAAGACCGTGTCCAGATTCCGACTTCCGGTGAAAATGCACACGGTTTTACAAAAAGTCTACTGTCAAAAAAATACGAACACCGGCAAACTTATTAACTTACTAGCTTAATTGAAGGTTGGCTTTGGGATTAATGAAAAACTAAAACGGCTTTGTCAAGTTATATCTCAACAAATACAATACGTTGTTGTTTCCAAATCAAAACTGCCCCAAAATACACAAATTTCTGCCGGTACAAGATCAACGTTTCAGTTAAGTTACCATGGATTACGAGCGTCCATTTTGTCTCTCGTCACACATTTTTGATATGCTGAATCTTGTAACAAAAGCGTTTTTTTCCAATCGCTCACCGTTTGCAATCGACTTATAACGCAATGCCTATTTTGAGAATTGTTTCACCCTGTTAATAAAATTCCACAAGACGATGGCCCCGAGACCTGTATCGATGTGAGGGACAGCATTACGGACGTCCACATTAACCACTAGGCAACCCAGATCTGATGTGAATTGAAACTGAATCTTAGGCAATGAAGGTTATTAGAGCACTACGTTTTTTCGCACAAAGCGAAAATGCCAGAACGGAATTTCTAATCGAGCACATGTAACAGATAAGAAGACCCGGTGTATTCAAACCTCAACAGCGTCATGTTGATCAGGGGTTCCTTTCACGAAGCAACCTTTACTAAGGTTAACCTTAACTCCTATTCTTTAACATTGCACTAAGGTTACCTTAGTGACTTACGATCACCTTAGTGCTTTGTGAAAGGAGGCCCTGTTTCATACATATCACAATTATAGTGCGTGAGTGAGTGAGTGAGTTTATTTTTACGTCGCACTTCCGGCGGTCTGTAAATAATGCAATCTGGAAGAGACATCCAGTGATCAATATAATGAGCATCGATCTACGCAACTGGGATACGATGACATGTATTAACCAAGTCAGCGAGCCTGACCACCCGATCTCGTTAGTCGACAAGCATGTGATGACCAATTCAAACCCGGATCTCCACGGGTTATCGCAACCATACGTGACACAGGCAGCCTTATTAGGAGCGTGGTTCGCGTTTCAGATATGTGGTAGACTTGCACAAGTCTCTAAATCAATAATTATTAGTTCATATCATAATCTCGAGATTGCGTAAACAACAATGAACGGGTTGTCCCAGTAAAAGACTGGCTTTCAGTCCAAGTACACATCTATTATTAGGATAGAGAATACTACACATCCCTGGACTTATCAGTACAGTCTTGGCGCAAGGCTGAGAACATGGTGACAACCGTGTGAGTAAAGACATAAAAAAGAAGTAATTAAAAAAGTCCATATGATAAACTATATCTGTGTTGACTTGCCGAGTATTCATATGAAAGATATGTTCAGTTCTGATAATGTCCCGTTAACTGTCTAAGATGCGCCATTGCATCATCTTGAATCACTCGGATGCGATTACACTTTCTTCAGTTGATCTCAACATGATGAAACCCAACAGTCTAGCCCTGTTTATCTGTCAAATATTATCATTTTGATAATTACCGAAGACATTTTAATATATTTTTTTTATCCCGATCTCTTTGATAATATTTCTGGATATTCCAGGTTCAATTTTTAACATGTTTTGATGAAACGCGCTTGAGCACCTTCAAATATCAATAACGCTTTTGAAAACCTAACGTCAATAATGTCATGGTAGACATTAAAATTGTCTATGAAATATGTTAGTAAACAATACATTTCTCTCTTAAAACAATTTTTCTAATGAATAAGCTCTTAATAAATTGACCAAATATTGATCTGTAAAGTTAAGTACAACAATTCAGATGAAATTCAGATGCCGATCAGTCATACAGACCCCTACAAACATTTCTCAGCGCATAACGGGCCGAGTACGCAACGCGTTGCTTTAAACCCCCTGCAACGAATTCTAAAAACACGTCATCGTTAAAATATTTGAAAGAAAAAATTATCTCCCTCAGATCTTACCTTCGAGCTCTTCCCTCTCTTCACGGGACATGGACATGGCGACTTTGGGAAGCTACAGTTTGGAGAGAAACGGGAATGGGGTCTAAATTTCCTCACACTGGGACCGAAAGGCGTCTACAACACTCTGGGCATATTCCACCAAGTCTCCCTTGCTAGACACTAAATCCCATTCCTTGCTAAACACCAGGCGCATGACACGGACCTTTCAGTTGGATGGACGAGTCCAACTCTTCGGGAGGGTCAATCGACGTAAAATTGACTAAAATCAAAATTTAATCACAAAATTTCCAGTAAAGAATCATAAACTAAAGATTTAGGGTGTTTGTATACATGTAATTAACAATATTTAGTAAAAATATAACTTTATCCCAAAATGTACACGCAATTATATGTTTTCCATTCACGGAACTGACCTCTCACCCCTGAACGAAAATGGACCAGTCTAGGAACGAGGTCTCTAGATAAACCAAATTAGATGAGAAGAGGACGGGAGGTTGATACAGAAGCGGGGGATGAGTTGTGGAGGTGGGGAGATGAGTTGTGGGGGTGGGGAGATGAGTTTGACAGGTCTGGGTGATCAAGAATCCCACTACCACTCCAGATTTGAGGAACGCCGGGGCCATGCAGCCGCTGCACTACATTGCGGAATTCTACTGGGTGACATGGGGCGATAAACCCCAGAAGTATGAACTTGAGTAGTTTTTAATCACCTATAAATTTAATAGTATGCAGACTTTACACTTTAATGACCATGTTATGCTCAGCGTCTCATAAAAATAAAAAAAATAAGTTAGGTCAGAGACCATATACTAAGGTCTTTGGTTAGATTATAAAAATAAACAAATATGGAAAACAGAATAAATTAAAAGAGCAGATTCTTCCATAGATATGAATCTATATTCAGCGTTGTTTTACGAGCACGTGGTCACATTTATCAAGGATGCGTTATTAAAAAAAATATAGAATCAACTTTTTGTAAACACTAGTGGTGGTCCGATTAATTGAAATAATCGAAGATTGGTCGCAGTGACTAAACGACCAAGCAATCGAACATGTTTTCTCGTAATCGAACACGACCAATCTTGGAACACTTGTTTGCATTAACAATATTTTTCACAAGGCTGGTTTTGTCTGTGTCATTAAATTTACATTTCATAAGCACCACAAGCTCGTTCCAAGTCATGATTGAATTTATCTTAAAAATCCAGGAAATATGTGTTCCTAACATACTAATCTTCATTTAAATATGCAACAATAACAGGAACATTTGATAAATGACGCTAACCAATTATTTTCGATGATTGATCGGTTGTAATGGACCAATCATTAATTATTAGATTTTAACCAATTTCCAACACTAGTAAACACAACAGAGTATGAAGGTTTTCGAGTTTGAAACCCTGAGATAATCTCCGTCTGATCTACTGTCCCTGATTACCAGATAAAGTTTTCATCCAAGATATAAAACAACAGGTTTTGAACAGAAAGTCCTGATGTTTGGGGAAGTTGTTTTGGATGAACCTGTGTGTGAGCAGTAAGCCTGTTGTCTTGCAGAAAAGAAAGAGCAGTTTTATGAAAATGATACATGACTACGGTCAAGCGATCTGGTCAGGCGCTTCATTTATCTATGACACCAGGGGCCAAGTTAGACTTGCTCCAAGGCTGTACTGACTACTCAGCCCATGGATGAATAGTAATTCTATCCTTTAAAGGGGCAAGTCTAGATAGGCATCCAAGGACGCCAGTCTATTAGAGGGGCGATGTCTTCTATTTCGTTTTCAGAAATAGTCATTTAAACTATTCATTATTACCTCGAGTTAATTGTGCAAGTCTAGGGACAAATACGCTTGGGATTTAAATGAGAGAGAAGCCTTATATATGTGTACACATGGGTCTCGTATAGGTGTAGACGGGGTCTCATATATGTGTAGACGTGGGCCTCATATATGTGTAGACGTGAACTTCATATATGTGAAGACGTGGACTTCATATGCGTGCAGGCGTGGACTTCATATATGTGTAGACGTGGACTTCATAAATATGTAGACGTGGGCCTCATATATGTGAAGACGTGGGCCTCATATATACGTGTAGTCGTGGACTTCATATATGTGTAGTCTTGGACATATATATGTGCAGACGTGGACTTCATATATGTAGACGTGGACTTCATATATGTGTAGACGTGGACTTCATATATGTGTAGACGTGGACTTCATATATGTGTAGACGTGGACTTCATATATGTGTAGACGTGGACTTCATATATGTGTAGACGTGGACTTCATATATGTATAGACGTGGACTTCATATATGTGTAGACGTGGACTTCATATATGTGTAGACGTGGACTTCATATATGTGTAGACGTGGACTCATATATGTGTATAGACTTCATATATGGACCTCATATATGTAGAGACGTGGACTTCATATATGTGGACTAGACGTGGACTTCATATATGTGTAGACGTGGACCTCATATATGTGTAGACGTGGACTAGACGTACTATATATAGACGTGGACTTCATATATGTGTGTAGACGTGGACTTCATATGTGTATAGACGTGTATAGACGTGGACTTCATATATGTGTAGACGTGGACTTCATATATGTGTAGACGTGGACTTCATATATGTATAGACGTGGACTTCATATATGTGTAGACGTGGACTTCATATATGTGTAGACGTGGACTTCATATATGTAGTCTTGTGTAGACGTGGACTTCATATATGTGTAGACGTGGACTTCATATATGTGTAGACGTGTAGACGTGGACTTCTTCATATATGTGTAGAGACGTGGACTTCATATATGTGTAGACGTGGACTTCATCATATGTGTAGACGTGGACTTCATATATGGACTTCATATATGTAGACGTGGACTTCATATATGTGAAGACGTGGACTTCATATATGTATATATGTAGACGTGGACTTCATATATGTGTAGACGTGGACTTCATATATGTGTAGTCGTGGACCTCATATATGTGTAGACGATATATGTGACTTCGTGGACTATATATGTAGACGTGGACTTCATATATGTATAGACGTGGACTTCATATATGTATAGACGTGGACTTCATATATGTGGACTTGGACCTCATATATGGACTATATATGTGTAGACGTGGACTTCATATATGTGTAGACTGTGGACTTCATATATGTGTAGACGTGGACTTCATATATGTATAGACGTGGACTTCATATATGTAGTAGACGTGGACTTCATATATGTGTAGACGTGGACTTCATATATGTGTAGACTTGGACTTCATATGTATAGACGTGGACTTCATATATGTGTAGACGTGGACTTCATATATGTGTAGACGTGAACTTCTTATACGTGCAGGCGTGGACTTCATACATGCGTAGACGTGGACTTCATATATGTGTAGACGTGGACTTCATATATGTGTAAACGTATTCGTGCATATGAGTGTAGACATATGCGTGCAGGCGTGGACCTCGTAAATGTGTAGATGTGGGTCACATATGTATACAAGCGACCTAGGCGTGTAAACAAGTGCATCGAAAATGAATGGCATCATCAACACCATCATGACTCCTTCATCACACAGAAGCTCCACCAATACACGCTCTGTAACACCAAACAATGGACATGAGATGAGTCTGTTTAAAGAACGCCTGTGCAGCCATAGAGAGCATTGTGATGAGTTGTACCGATATGGATCTACGAGAAATCAGACCTATTATATGGTCACTGGTGAAATATCCATCAATGCTATGTTGAATGAAGCTAGATGTTCACATGTGTTCCACTGACAATAACGTGGATAATAAGCATGTAATTGGTCACAATTAAATAATCGTTTATGAAAGAAATGCCACCCGTTTATGAAACGGGAAACAGTGATAATGTTTGTTTGTTGCTTAGCAACATTCTCAGCCATGGCCATGCTATATGATACGATTGTAACAGTCCGGAACATATACTCGAGATTAAACTCGAGATTATACTGAAATTACACGTGATTGAGATTGAATAAGTGAGTCAGTGAGTCAGTTGGGTTTTACGTCGCTTTTAGCAATACTCCAGCAATATCATACTTTGTGAGTGAGTGAGTGAGTGAGTGAGTTAAGATTTAAAGTCACATCGGCAATATTGCAGCCATATCGTGACTAAAACTAGTTCTAATTTTATAATACATACATATAATCATACTTTGTACCCAAGTGGGGAATCGAACCCGGGTCTTTGGCGTGACGAGCGAACGCTTTAACCACTAGGCTACCCCACCGCCCAACTTTGCATAACGGTTGTCTGACATCTATACATGAATATTGTGCTGGATAGGGGCCTGACAAACAAGACGCATGTCAGATACGACTGTAGCTCACTTGACGCCCAAAGGACAGGTGTTAGATATGATTTTAGCTTACCTGGTACTCACGTGAAATGATACATGTGATTGTAGCTAACCATACAAGATGCATATAGATATAATTTTAGCTATCCTGGCACTCACAAGGTGTATGAATTTGGTCACAAATCTAACCTGATATAAATGGGTTGTATGATATATACCGATGTAGATAACCTTACACTAGGGGTGACTATTGAGGGGGAAACAACTATTGCGATAGCAATAGTCTATTGCAAGATACTATTGCAATTATGATAGTCTATTGCAAAATACTATTGCGATAGTGATAGTCTATTGCAAAATACTATTGCAATTATGATAGTCTATTGCAAAATACTATTGCGATAGTGATAGTCTATTGCAAAATACTATTGCGATAGTGATAGTCTATTGCAAAATACTATTGCGATAGTGATAGTCTATTGCAAAATACTATTGCGATAGTGATAGTCTATTGCAAAATACTATTGCGATAGTGATAGTCTATTGCAAAATACTATTGCAATTATGATAGTCTATTGCAAAATACTATTGCAATTATGATAGTCTATTGCAAAACACTATTACGATAGTGATAGTCTATTGGAACTTGTACAGGCTCTCTTTAGTTTTCACAATTGGAACTTTGTAGCAGCGGCCTGAAGGGAGGAGGTTGTATTCCGAATTTAAGTAGTGAGTTGGGTCAGATATAATTTTGACAGCTTGATTCACGATTTGCCGCTCATATATTGATGATAAACATTCAAATCTGACTCCAGCGATTTTACTTGCAGTGCTAACAATTTTGTCTATTTTAGATTGAGATTAACTGTGAGAGACCCGTACCAACAATGGAAGGAAAATGTTAAATACTCTGAATAAATGCTGCATAAAATGATGACATCACAGATGGGTTAACATTAAAAGATCTCAGTTTACGCATGAGATGAAGACATTGCTGTCACTTGTTGTACAGAGCTTCAGTGTTAGAGTTCCAGTTCAGCTTAGAGGCAATGAAGGTTCCCAGATACTTATACTCCATCATTGTCTCAGCACATTCACCGTTGATTATCACTGGAAGCATCCCTATGGGCTTACTCCGAAAGTCAGTTATCAGTTCCTTTGTTTTGACCTATAAGGAACTAAAAGCTCTGACATCCAAGTCCAAAAAGCATGGGAGTATCCCAGTTGTTTCTCTAACCATTTTCAATAAACAACAAAACAAACTTGAAACATACGAATTTAATGGAGAACTATAAATACTGTCATCTTATGTACATTTAGTTTCAAACAAAACCAACATTATCTTAAAAATCACAGATACCTGTTTTTCATCTCTCCTAAATCTTGGTTCAAGCACATAAAGAAATACATCATTTTGTTCCATTCTATCTGCAACGCTCCTGCCTTACAAACACACTGGTTTTGATAGTATGCATATCTAAGTACTTGGTCCCTGCCAAGAATATGTATTATATTTTCTGTATAAAAATCAGAAGTTGTCTCTGAATTGGGTGCTTGTTGACATAATCCATCCTAAGAAGCCATTGTAGCCACCTGATACCCATTTCAGTTAACTCCACCACAAGTGCCACTGGTTGCCTGTTTTTTCCTGGCCCAATCACAGCAACAGGTAGACCCACACCAGTGCATTATGAATATAAATCTGAGTTATGTTCAGTCCTGGGTTTATTATGAATATAACCCGAGTTATGTTCAGTGGATGCTTCTATAGCCAAACATATACTGAGGGATAAAAATAAAGGATCACAATTGGGACTAAGGTCTATTCTGCCTTGGTCTCATGTCAAGAATAGTTTTACAGCCTCAGTTCTGGGTTATTATAAGGAGAGTGAGTGTGTCGAGTCTTTGTCTACCTTTAGCAATAATCTTACATCAGCCGGTGACACGAGGAATGAACATTAGACAATGTATTCATGTTGGGAGCAGAAACAAGGTTTCACAGGGCTGGCAAATGCTTTAAGCACCTGAACCATAGTTTGTCTCACAGTCCCTGAACCACATTATTTCCCTCCTGCAAAGCCCTCCTAGTCTGTCTCACAGTCCCTGAGCCACATTATTTCCCTCCTGCCAAGCCCTCCTAGTCTGTCACAGTCCCTGAACCACATTATTTCCCTCCTGCCAAGCCCTCCTAGTCTGTCTCACAGTCCCTGAACCACATTATTTCCCTCCTGCCAAGCCCTCCTAGTCTGTCTCACAGTCCCTGAACCACATTATTTCCCCTCCTGCCTAGCCCTCCTAGTCTGTCTCACAGTCCCTGAACCACATTATTTCCCTCCTGCCAAGCCCTCCTAGTCTGTCTCACAGTCCCTGAACCACATTATTTCCCTCCTGCCAAGCCCTCCTAGTCTGTCACAGTCCCTGAACCACATTATTTCCCTCCTGCCAAGCCCTCCTAGTCTGTCTCACAGTCCCTGAACCACATTATTTTCCCTCCTGCCAAGCCCTCCTAGTCTGTCTCACAGTCCCTGAACCACATTATTTCCCTCCTGCCAAGCCTCCTCCTAATCTGTCACAGTCCCTGAACCACATTATTTCCCTCCTGCCCAGCCCTCCCTAGTCTGTCTCAGTCCCTGAACCACATTATTTCCCTACTATCTAGCCCTCCTAGTCTGTCTCACAGTCCCTGAACCACATTGTTTCCCTCTTGCCTAGCCCTCCTAGTCTGTCTCAGTCCCTGAACCACATTATTTCCCTACTATCTAGCCTCCTCCCTAGTCTGTCTCAGTCCCTGAACCACATTGTTTCCCTCCTGCCTATCCCTCCTAGTCTGTCTCAGTCCCTGAACCACATCATTTCCCTACTATCTAGCCCTCCTAGTCTGTCTCACAGTCCCTGGAACCACATTATTTCCCTCCTGCCAAGCACTCCTAGTCTGTCACAGTCCCTGAACCACCTTATTTTCCCCTCCTGCCAAGCCCTCCTAGTCTGTCTCACAGTCCCTGAACCACATTATTTCCCTCCTGCCAAGCCCTCCTAGTCTGTCTCACAGTCCCTGAACCACATTATTTCCCTCCTGCCAAGCCCTCCTAGTCTGTCTCACAGTCCCTGAACCACATTATTTCCCTCCTGCCAAGCCCTCCTAGTCTGTCTCACAGTCCCTGAACCACATTATTTCCCTCCTGCCAAGCACTCCTAGTCTGTCACAGTCCCTGAAACAGCTTATTTTCCCTCCTGCCAAGCCCTCCTAGTCTGTCACAGTCCCTGAAATACATTATTTCCCTCCTGCCAAGCACTCCTAGTCTGTCACAGTCCCTGAAACAGCTTATATTTTCCATCCTGCCAAGCCCTCCTAGTCTGTCACAGTCCCTGAACCACATTATTTCCCTCCTGCCAAGCCCTCCTAGTCTGTCACAGTCCCTGAAACACATTATTTCCCTCCTGCCAAGCCCTCCTAGTCTGTCTCAGTCCCTGAAACACATTATTTCCCTCCTGCCAAGCCCTCCTAGTCTGTCACAGTCCCTGAATCACATTATTTCCCTCCTGCCAAGCCTCCTCCTAGTCTGTCACAGTCCCTGAAACACATTATTTCCCTCCTGCCAAGCCCTCCTAGTCTGTCTCACAGTCCCTGAACCACATTATTTCCCTCCTGCCAAGCCCTCCTAGTCTGTCTCACAGTCCCTGAAACACATTATTTCCCTCCTGCCAAACCCTCCTAGTCTGTCTCACAGTCCCTGAAACACATTATTTTTCCCGCGTGCCTAGCCCTCTCTGCGATGCTTAAGCCCTAAATGAAGCAAGTCAAGATTTATTCAGGTTCAGGAGTCTCCCTGGGGCTCCTTTTCAGTTTATATGGGTTTGTTTATTACAATCAAAATTACATATATTCAGAGACTAAGTGTTAGTCTACCTGAACCACACAAATTTGCATCTCTTCCACATTCACAGACACAAACACAGAAAGTTTGATTTGATGAAAGAGAAGATGAAATCCAGAAAATTCTTTATATTCATCCTTAATTGTTGATAATGTATATTTCATCAAATCAAACTTTCTGTGTTTGTGTCTGTGAATTTGATTATTCCAGCACCTTAATTGTTAGATGCGTGATTGGAATTTTAGAAGATGCTGTTCTATTAATATAAAGAATTTTCTGGATTTCATCGAATAAAAAGGAGATGAAATCCAGAAAATTCTTTCAAAGAATAAAAAGAAGATGAAATCCAGAAAATTCTTTATGTGAATAAAATAGAATCTTCTAAAATTCCAATTAAACATCTAACAATTAAGGAGTTGTGGATTTAACTGTCAAGAAAAAAGGACCAACATAAGTAGATTTAAAATTATTTGCAGAAAAAATTCTAAAAACAAACTTGCCCTGACACAATACAATATCAATGAATATTTTGTTTTCAAACATACATTATCAATGTTATATCAATGTTCAAACATTAACAGAAAATATATCCCAATCATAAACAAATATAAAGATTAAGTAAGTGTCATGAGAAATTTATCTCTGTCAACAGTTACTCAAGAAAAGAAAGGATCCCCTTCCACAAACATAATCTGTGTGACCAGACGTGGAGCATTATATACAGAATTCACGCTAGGTATGAATGGGCGAGTTGTGCTTAATCACTATATCATCACCATATTTCAGATTAATGTGGCTGGAAAGCCTGGAATGATGTAGGTGATAAACATTTGTACCAGGGGTGGAAATAACCCATTGCCCGACGCCCGAGTCCAGTGTATTTTTCTGTTGGGCAAGCCAATTTGAATATCACACTGTACTGGTGTCCAGTTGACTTACCAATGTTAATTATGTTCTTTATGTAAAAATTCAACAAGAAAACAGCTGGTATAGTGGAAAAATTATCAGGGCAAGTGATTTTACATGTGCCACTGTACCGGAGTACACTAGCAATTTTAAAGTTATTTTCACCCCTGTGTACTTCAGGTAAATACCACAAGCAGAAATATGGTGCTGACAAGCCAATGGAAATAGACAGGGCGAATCTGAGATTAAAACCCCTGATCTTCTGTGATCTTAGGCCCATTCAGAGGACGGAATTTTGCACAAGAATTGTGTGTTGCCTTTGAGTACTGGACAATGTCTGCCCCACTTCATGAGATGAAATCTTTACAAAAAGGAAAAAAAACATGACTGATGAAGCAGTGTTCAAAGACTGGAACGTCAAACATCACAGCTCTGAGATCATGCATGTACTTGGAACAACTTACTGGACCCAGCTAAACAAAGTTTCTATCTGCGTTTTTGTTTTGCCTTTTTGTATCCCACAACACATTATATATAAAATATCTACCACGTCCAGAGATTGATTTTTGAGGTAGATGAAATTTAGAAAATACAATTTGCATGTTCAAAAGAAAACTTGTAATCTTGTAAAGAAGTCATTTTGGGCTTCACAGCATTTGACAACCTACGTGTGTATTGATACATTAAGCACAAACTGAAATATCTTACATGAACATCATCAACGGGTTGTTTCAAGCCCAACATCGAGGCTTGTTTGTAACTCGCATTCTGATTGGTATGTTAGACCTTGAAGCACAGGAAATCAAACAAATGAAGCTCAAGCTCAGGTAATTATCAGAAAATACAAGAACAGATCCAGGGATCGGTGTAGGTTTACTGAAATATGAGTGAGTGGGTATGGTTTTACTCCACTTTTAGCAATATTCCAGCATTATCACAGCAGGGGACACTAGAAATGGGCTCCACACATTATACCCATGAGGGGGAATCGAACCCAGGTCTTCAGGGTGACAAGCGAATGCTTAAACCACTAGGCCATCCCACCGCCCCTTGCCGAAATATGAATCACAAAGACATAGAGGAGACGAAAGAAGCGGGATAAAGCTCAGTAATCTCACATACCTATTCTGTGAGAGTTAAAGGCTCTAAACATATACAGCAAGAGGCATTGTGACAAAAAAGAAACACGTTCCAAAATAAGCAAGACTGTGAAAGGGTCCTCCTTACATTAAGAATGCAATGTTCAGGTGGTCCCTACAAAGACCATAGAGCAAACCTCAAGGTCACAGAATCCTTTCATTTCTAACAAGGATCAGAGTTTTCTGGTCTATCTGGAGTCACAAGCTTCTTATGCATTTGGGCTGGATAGATCCTTTTGAAAAAAGCTTAATGTTTAACCTCTTGGTCTCAAATCAGGGCTTTGTTAAGGAGCATGCTGAACTACAATTATTTCGAACCGAGTCTTCTATATGACATCTTCTTTTATTTCCTAACAGGTTATAAATATAGTCAGCCCAATCATGTAATAGAGAGTCCACTGGCATTAGGCAATCCTATTTGCCAAGTCTGATGCATAATACTGCAACATATCCCAGACTCTTCTGTGAACGATGTGCATTTCAGTCAATGTAGAACAATGTGCAACAGGCAATAACAAAATGACATGGTGAAGGCGTTGTTGATTTCAATAGTAGAATACACCAAAGGCAGCAGCCACACAGAATATTGAATCCTGAAACATAGAACGAAATCATTAACTCATGATACAGTCACACTGAGCAAGTGAGTTTACATTTACACCACACTCAGCAATATTCCAGCTTTATGGCGGCGGTCTGTAAATAATCGAGTCTGGACCGGTCAATCCAGTGATCAACAGCATGAGCATCGATCTACACAAATGGAATACGATGACATTTGTCAATCACGTCAGCAAGCCTGACCATCCAATCCGATTAGTTGCCTCTTGCGACAAGCCTGAGTTGCTGAAGATCAATTCTAACTGGGATCTTCAGAGGTTACAGTCACACTGACATTTATCCAAAGGGAAGAATGAAGGTTAAAAATGTCCACTTATTTTTGTTTGTTTTCAAAGAGGATGTAAATACCATTACAGAAACAATATATAAATAAACATTTTAGATTCAAGTAAACACTCTACACCTGCCAGGACTTGTATAATTGCCCCACTTTTTGTAACTTAATAAGTGTTAAAATCTAAGCATAACAAAAAACAGACTCTTGTTATAAGCTGTATAACAAGCTAAAGATTAGCATTGTCAAGGGCATCAAGAGATTAAGTGTGCAACAGAAAATATTCATTTCAGCTTTATCAGTTTATGACTGATGATGATGAGCACGATGCACAAGCAAGTGATGACATAAGCTCACATCAGGTGAGCTAAACATTAGCAACATATCACGCAAACACATTTTAATTATTCATAAGCGTGATAATCTTATCAGCCCCGAGCGTACAACAAAAAATGTTTACTGATTTAAGAACAAACACACTAAAGTCCCAAGCAAACCCGAAACAGCACTATATATGTATTAACGTTCCCGTCATAAACAAATCCACTTGGTAGAACCTCAGTCTTAGTCTGAAGGACAGAAACACTGCCAAATTTCACGATAAATATAAACTGTGAGAAGAATAGCTCCTAGTGCTTTGGCAGTTCAGTAATTCAGGATCAGCTTACATTCATGAATATATCCTGAGCATAGTTGTCTGTATCTGAGTCCCAGAAACATCGACAAGCCATCCTGAAAGAAAGAACCATTCTTGTAAATACAATGGAAGTGAGTGAGTGAGTTAAGTTTTACGCCACACTCAACAATATTACAGCTATATGGCAGCAGTCTGTAAATAATCGAGTCTGGACCAGATAATCCAGGGATCAACAGCATGAACATCGATCTACGCAATTAGATACGATGACATGTGTCAACCTAGTCAGCCAACCTGCCCATCTGATCCCGTTAGTCGCCTGTTAAGACAAGCTTCGGTTTCTGGTGACCAATGCTAACCTGTTACAGAATGGAAGGTTACGTGACATTCTGTGTTATTTCAGTTCATATAGCCTGATGATCTGACAGCAATGGCCAAAGGCCACAACGACAAACCGAAAGGAACAGTTTCAATATATTTTGATCTGCTTGATTTTTCAATATTTCAAGGATATAAAAAAAAAAGATGAAAGGGCATTGAGTGAGTTGGCTTTGAAGTTGTTCTTCTGGGCCCCGTTCCTCAAAGGGATCATAGAGCTACGACAGTCGTAAGTCTATGTTAAAGTATGGGAGTTACGACTGTCGTAGCGCTACGATCGCTTTGAGGAACGGGGCCCTGTATTTTAGTCATATCATGCCATGTGGTGGTGCTGTGTGGCCCTGTGCATCAGGTCACAATCAGTTGAAGTTACGCAACGTTGAGCGCAGAGAGTACTTGGATGGGTGACCATGTGTGGCAGCTAGACTCCTGAGAGTTTCTAGGACTTCAGTCCTGCCCCACAATGAAGCACATGTTATAATGTGGTCTTATCTTAGGCAAGTGAGTTTGTTCAAAATTGCTTCTGTTCACCTAGCAGAAAAGGGGTACCCGGTAGAATGAGTCATGAGACAATTAACCTTCTACTAACTTCTAGCACCTCACAGGCAGCTTGGGTTATCTGTGGTAATAAGAAACAGAATTATGTCGCAAACTTTCCCTCTGGATTATGGTTGCCTTTATCCTGTAGGTACCACTGAGACATACAGAAATGGAAATGAAATTTGAACTAAGTCTTTGTGTGCTTTGAGCAGGATATGAAGCCTGGAAAGGCACATTATAAATATTCTCATTATCATTATGTCCGGTTGATGTGGGAGAAAGCCAGAAGTGATGCAGGCCTCAGACATTTACCACTCTGCTGAAACTCCCAAGCAATGAAATCGGGGTGAAAGCTCAATTCAAACCACAATCATAGGAATCTGGCAAGCCCAAGGTACACAACTCTGTTTGTTATTTAATGCCACAACTCTGCACAGTGAAGACAATTTAATACTAGAATAGTACAGACACAAACCAAAAAACATTATCAGAGCACATTTGGAAGCAAACCCATGATCACAGGATCCTGGCACACCAAAGAAGCACAACTCTGGGTCAATTGTGCATGGAGCCTCGGATAACTGGGCCACCTGTTCCCCCTACATAGGATGACATGAAACTAATGACAATATCTTAAACATAGTTCCAGTAATATGGATTCCTTGGAAACAGAAACACTGGAATTCGGCGAATTCAAAACAAAAGGTATACGTTTGAACTGAAGCCAGCATCTATTTTGGCTTTATCTACATTGCTGTTACCTTTCAAACATGTCACAAAACATCCAAACATGATATATATAGTGGATTTTAACAGCCCATTCAGGCATCTCATATGCTAAAGATTAATGATCTGTGGAAAGCATTTTAAGTTTCAGCTGATGATAAGCATTTGATAACTTGTTTACAACAAAAGATGTTTTTTTAATCCGGACAAACCATGAAAACACTAGTACTTATGAATTGGAAAACAAAATAATTTCTTATGACACTTGACAAATGGACTATCATGGTGTAGCATGGTATAAATGTAAAGTTAACAAGTATTGATTTAATAAAAAAAAAAGCACATACTGGCCTGACATTCAAAGTTAATATATTTGGATAATTTGAACACTTCTTATGAATCTATGTATCAGCTGCTGAAAAACATTTTTCTTTTCAAGCTCATGTTCTGACTTGTTTGCAACACACAAAAATCCTAAGAAAATATATCCTCATGGCTCAACCATAGCTTGAACCCTTACAACGATCAAATGAATTTCTGAAGTCTAGAAACAGTCTTTAATATTCAATATATTTTCCCACTTAAAAGCAAAGATTTGTCCAATGCAGAGACCATATTTCGGTATATCATCTCTGTCCAATGTAAGTAGTATGAAAACCAAGAAATTGGCAAAAGTCGACTTGTCAACCTCATGTCAAGTTAGTGAAGGTTAAGAGGGATGTATTATTTCCCCTTATAAAGTTATAGAAAACTCTGAAATACTGATATGAAAAATATTCAGACATGTCCAAATGGTTGATAACTAGTTCTTTATGATATGTGGACTTCTAGCAAGATCAAATACGTAAGATTGGCTAAAGTGAGTGAAACAGTCCATATACAAACTTCAAAAGAAATCTATAACCAAATCTATGGCCAAAGACAATAAGATTTCACCAATTCCTAATATAATTGAGAAAGTCTTATTCTTGGAGCCTTTCAACATTTCTTTTTTTTTTATTATATAAGTTTCCATTTACAATAAGACCTGAGCAACATATGTTACACATGTTATATCTGGGAATACACTTTCTCAGTAATAGTACAGATTCTAGTACTTTTCTGGGGTGAGTTCCAGCTGGGATTCAAACCCACACTCTCAGTGTGAGAAAAAAAAATCCAAATCTACTTTCAAACATAGGCCATCGCCGCATGTAGAACGCAACGTCACAGAAGAAATGTGACGTCATAGCCTTGTTCATGACTTCACATCACCATGACAAAGTGATATTTTGCCCTCGGGCATCGTATGAAAAATATGAACCGGATATTTTCACCCTCGTAGCTAATAAACAATGCTTTTTAGAGGTGGATGAGGTGAAATTAGGTTTAACGTCGTGCTTGAGAATATTTCGCTCATATGACGACTGTTTGTACTAGCCCTGACTTAAGCTGGTTTTATAGTGCTAGCCCACTGAGATACCATGCCGCAGTGAAGCATGAATACTCCACTCAGACACATTATACTGACCAGTTCTTGTTGTACCCATTAATGCCAAGCGCCAGGCAGGGACCAACAAGTACCATATTTTAACGTCTTTTGGTATGCCGCGGCTGGGGATCGAACCTGCGACCTTCCGCTCTCCAAGCAGACGCTCTAACCACTACAACACGAAGGCGGTAATGCTTTTTAGAAGGTGTTTAGATGTAACATATGTCACATCTGAAAACTTTGTAAATGCATTGTGTATTCATCATCCTGAGTGTTCATGATATTTGAACAAAGAGGTATATCTTGATAAAGCTTGTTCACTTAAAGTTAAAGTGAAGAGAGATACTAAGTGATAATTGTTGGCGGGAGGTCGCTCGTACATGGATTACTTCTGAAATTAAACCCCTACTGTACAAAGCGTCAGCCTTGAGAGTGGTAGGATGTAGGTTTGATTCCGTTGTTTTTCTTGCCACTACGTCTGGAGCTTGGCATTAAGAGGTGCAATATTTTTCTATTCAAAAATAGAGAATTGATAAAAATCCTCGATGTTAAAGATGAATAAATAATAATGCTAAATAACATAGCTAATAGAGCTTTATCCACTTGTAAGTGCTGTAAGAAATAATATGTGCCTTAGTTGACATCTGGTTTTGTGTAAAAAAAAGAAACGAAGATCGCTATTAGATGATATCACCCACTTAAGTGATTCTCGATGCTGACTGCCACATAAATATCTTACAGCTTCATCTTTGAGAATAATACTCTGTGACTTCCTCCACTGTTCACACAGCATCATGAACTATTCACGACATCCTTAACTGATGACATTATATTACTGCACAACCAGTTTCAAGTTTCTCTACATAATAACATTCCTACCATTTCCATACATTACATTCATTAGGAACAATTACGGATATTGTTAGTAATTATTAGTAAACTTACCTCTGGATTATGGTTGCCAGTTTCCTGTGGGTGACACAGATACATACAGAATGAAAGAGATTAAAATTCTTCTAAGTCATAGCTATCCCTAGTGGTATGCCTAAATATCTACATGGTTATCTCCCTTAGCTGTGACGTCACAGCATTGTTCTTTGAACACCTTCATATTTTTTTATTTTTTTAAAAATTATTTTTCCTCATACACATCGCGGGGAGGTAAGGGAGGGTCCTAGATCCCATAATCCAGAAGTAAGTTTACTAATAATTACTAACAATATCCGTAATTGTTCCTAATTATGTCGTAAACGTTTCCTCTGGATTATGGTTGCCAGAATCCCACATGAGGGTGGAGGGCTCCAGTGAATGAGGAAACAGAGGAATACCACTATACTTCTGGAATCCCAAATTCCCTTCTTGGGATAAATATGACTTAGATAACTTCCTGTTCAATATTCCCGCCACCATATTATCTTGTTAATATATTACTAGAACAGGAAGTTAACATGAAGGAATATTCTGAAATATCTGGAGAGAAATTAGACCATTAACCCATTCAACACCGCAGGCCGCTTAAGCGGCCACAACGTAATGAGTCCCCAGACACCGGAGGCCGATTAAGCGGCCAGGCAGTAGTCACGTCAAAATGAGACATAATTTTAGGAACCTACCTGACTTATGATTCATATATTAAATCTATCACATTTCACAATGTCTGAAAACACTTATTAAATTTCAATTTATCATATATTATCGGCAGAATTAAAATTATAAACTATTTTTCGCAATGTTATTGAAAACAACGATTCTCAGACACATGCTTCGGCAGCGGGTCTACAATAACATTGTCAAAGAGCAAAGTAACGATGTTTTGAGGAATTCATTAAGTAAATTGAATAAACTAATGAATAAAATCAACAACAGCTGTCAAATGTACATATAAAATTACTATTTCCATCTTTTTGTGCGATCATGTAATATAAGTCAAGTCACTGACAAGTGACATCTCGGCTCTCGCCGCCTCAATCTTCACGCTCG